CATTGCTTACAAAAAATCAAATATACAGTGCAAAAATTGAAACTAGACAATTGATAGGACAACAGATCGCGTTACATGTCCCAAAAATGTACAGAACCGCTTCACGCAGGAGAAACCAGCTGCGAAATGCAGTGAAAACATTTACAGCTTTTGTACAACAAAAATGAGTTTAATCGTCCCCTTCGTCATCGTCGTCAGCATCACCGACCACTGCAGCGGGGGCCGAGGAGGAAGCAGCAGTACGAGGATTGTTAGTTTTTGGTGCAGGCTTCTTACCTGATTTGTAATCTTTCATCTCCTGAAGAAATTATTCGATGAAACGAAACCACTCGAATTATTGACTGATCAGCATAACTTACGTTTTCATATCTGAGTTTGTCCCGAAGCGCCATTTCTTCGTACTTCTTTTTCTGTTCATCGGTCAGCTCCTTCCACATACGTCCTAATTCCTGGGCAATCTGACCAACTTTGTAATCTGGATGTCCCTTCTGCACCTCCGGACGCTTGCCTTGCGAGAAGAAGAAAAACGCTGACCTAAAATATTCGATCGGTGCACATACGTTCTTCAGAAGCAAAGGTTCTTCTTTTATATTACAGGGCTCGCTTGGGCGCGTTCGGATCTTTCTTTCCACGCTTCCTCTTTTTGACTGCTTCCTCTCCTCCGAAAGCAGCAACTTCAGCCTGATACCGTTCTGCGTCTTTGGAAGCCAATTCGAAGAAACGCTGTTTCTCCTGATCTGACATAGTCTTGAAAATAAAAGGAAAATCTGTACGCACAAACCCAAGCAGTTATGGATGCCACAAGTTACCTTCCATTTTTCAGAACATTTCTTAGAGATTTCGGTCACCTGAACATTTTCCGTTGGGTATTTCTTTTTATGCTCCTCGTAACACATTTTCACAAAAAATCCATAGGGCGACGTTTTGCCGCGAGGCTTTCCTGCTTCGCGAACCATTCCTGGATACAAATGCTGCTAGTCTTTAAAGAACGACAAACGAATAGCCTAAATTGGAAAAAAACAATTTAATCAATTCACTCAATTCCATCCTCATTTTAGTCTGACAAAAGTAATAGCGCAAGGTGTATAGAACGAACACCTTCAACAGATACTAAAATAAGTCAAAGGAAGAGCGAAGGTTATCGGCAGCTACACATCTCCTGTTTTCATCAGTCTGATCACTAATTTAAAAGGTGCTGATTACAATGCAACGAAATGTTCTTCGAAAAGTAGTACTTATCCATCGAAAACGCTACTTATGAAAGCGAACAACACTTCGAAAAACATGACAGCAATCCTTTCGCTGCGGATTAACTACCTTGAATCGGACTCGTTCTTTAAGAAATGCCATTCAAGGTAACTACAAATTGATGGCAGAGCATTCGCACACAGCAGAAGCACAAAGAAGCCACTGACAAAGGCAGAGAAGAGTAACAACGGGAACGGGAGTCAAATACAGTTGAAATCAAGTCGAGTCAAACTCAATCACTTAGCAAATGGTGGGTTTCTATTTTTCACCAACTCAAAGTACAGAGATAACAGTAATACAAATAGAAGAAACTTAATGAATTTAAGAAAAAAGATACTGAAAAGTAATTAACCAATACAAATAAACTTTCCATTCCCTGCTAAATATTTGACGATTTCGAAACGTCAGTATAACGAATTTGCATCGTATTCCAAGCAGTGAACATATCATTAAGAAAAACGGTGATACTCCAACACTAAGAAACGACTGTCATTCCTATTTCGATAGTTAAGCATAAGCACAGCTTCTGAGAAAAACGACATTCACATCAACTAGTGCTCATGCGTGTTCGTCTCTTTCGCAACTGTTCTGCAAACGGTCAGAACGGAATCTACCTTGCAACAGGATATTAAAAAAAACAAAGTCAATTAAAAGAAAATTTGAAACAACCCTTTTTGCAGTTTACTCATTGTTAGAACGCATAGCATATCAATATAATTCTAACTGGCATATAAGGCTGTTTTTATCAAAGATAATCAAGGATTACAGGACAGACTTATGGGTATACCGGATAATTGGTCGCTACAACGACCGGATGCAAAAAATTGAACAAAGAAACAATCTAAAGAAAAAAGAAAATCATTTTAAAGAATGAAAACGAAATTTAAAAAAATCCGACAGACTGCACGCTGCGCACGGAGAGTTTTCATCATGAATAAAGTCGAGAACAAATGCTGGTTAGCGATTCAGGATTGCGCTACTGTTGTAGTGGATCGAACAGATAAATGAGAAGGCTGATTTAGATTACCTTAATCAACAGAAAGCAAAAACTACATAAAATGGTGAACGAGTATTAATGAATTGACGCAATCTAAGAGGAGCTCCAATGACTTCCGTGAGAACCAAAGCAATGATGACAATATGCTTTTCATCGTTTGAAGGATTTGCTATAAAGAATATAAATCTAAGCAGCACTGCAATTATGTGCTTTACAGGTTTTAACACAAAACTTGAGACTACGCCTTCAGATTCTCTGTGCAATAAATAAATGAACACCTACAAACAGCTATCGAATATCCGAATTAAATTACTTGACGTAAGCCCACAATAGTAAGATATAAGATACCGTCTTTCAGGGTTTAAAACTACCTCTGCTGATTTCGTGGAATGGACGGCTTAACGGTGTTAAGCTATCAGTATAACATATTTTTTACCATTTAATTAGTGTCACAATAATCACGTTTTGATCAAGCGGACATCAATCAGAATGGGGATAATTTAAGTCTTATAATCGAGAGGCAAACCACCAAATGTAAATACTAATCATAACCCTTTTCTTATAATAATTGTGTCCTACAGGATGTCAGAATCAATGCATATGAAAATATGCCTATTTACAATTACACATTAATTACAAAATGGTTATGCTTTCATCAACTTTAGATGACAGCAGATATAAAAAACCAACGATCTACAACCATGCATCTGGCATACTGTTTACGTATGTAGAAATATAATACTAGATAAAACCTAGTAAATGTGTCACTGCTGGGTACAGATTTGTTATTCATACCTATATGATATATGCATTATATTATAATAACCATCGAATAACTGCTATTCATACATAATAAAAATAGCATAGAAATAAATCATTTTATACACGACGTAAAATGTGGCCCGTATGAAGATTATCGTTAGATGCCAACGTTTCAACCCCTCTCTCACGGGCCTTCTTCAAGACAAAGAAGTAGGTAAAGTTATAAGGATGAAAGTCGTTCCGGCATCTGCAGCTGAGAGCAAGTTCAGAGCGCAGTATCTTTGCGTCATGTACAAAATGAATTATATTTATGCCATTTTCAATATGACTATAAGCACACGAACGAAATATCCAATTTAAGCACAGTAGCGACTAATTCACAAAAAAAATTGACGAAGGGACAAATCAATCTCGATCGATACTGTCATCTTGTTATGAATTAATTGCCAAGAGTTAAGTCATCAAACAAATTTTACTAATGACCAGGAGTATTTTCATCTGTCTATAAAAATTACTGAACTGTGACAATAAGAGGAAATTACTAAACAGTGCTCTATACAGTGATGACCACGTTGATATAAATTGTTTATCGTGGTAATCAACTCTGCAGAGTAGCCCGCAACACCTAATTATGAGGAAAG